TTGAATAGCGGACAGAGAGATTGAAGATATTGACGGAAAATTGAGTCAAGCACGGTAGTAAGTAAAATGCGTGAATTGTTCGTTGAGAATTATATCGTGTGTTTAAGTGACTGTGAAAATTAAGTGTATTGCAAAATTGTATTGAGAAAGAATTAGTTTTATTTAAGAAAGGACTTGTATCACTGAAGTTTCTCGGGAAGAATTTCTACCGGAAATTATCAAACGAGCAGAGACGTAACATACCACATTAGAGTGAGAGAAAATATACTGCAAAGCTGATACTAATTTATTTCAATAATTTTTTAAGAGCCAGCGTATCTTTTGGCTTCCTATTATTTCAAAATATTAAAACAATATATTTCACAGAAAGAAAGATGGACGACCACGTGATATCTCTGGAGTTGTATAAAAAACTATAGTTTTAGGGGAGGCCACGCCGAGTGCTGCCGCTAAGTCTGTCAAGAAAGCATTGTTGCATAATTGTCACATTTTCGGCACGGATAATACACGTGCATGCACACTGCTGATCACCACCATGTCACATCCGGGCACTATTGGCCCTTCCTCATTCCACTGTGAGAATATACGATTCACAAGCAATTTCACATGAGAAGCAAAAGAAAGAATATGAATCAGCATGTTTGATGTAACGTGTTTCACGAAGTTTGTTTGTTTGTTCTGGATTTCGCGCAAAGCTACACGAGGGCTATCTGCGCTAGCCATCCCTAATTTAGCAGTGTAAGACTAGAGGGAAGGCAGCTAGTCATCACCACCCATCGCCAACTCTTGGGCTACTCTTTTACCAACTAAAAGTGGGATTGACCGTCACATTATAACGCCTCCACGGCTGAAAGGGCGAGCATGTTTGGTGTGACGGGGATTCGAACCCGCGACCCATAGATTGCGAGTCGAGTGCCCTAACTACCTGGCCATGCCGGGCCCATTTCACGAAGTAAGGGTGTAGAACAGGGACGTAGTGAAGACCCTCCCCCGTACCCAGTATTACATTTGAAAGCACAAAGCCATTTTTCTGTGAATTCTGTTGGCAAAATTCTCATCTGTCTTTTTTTGGTAAATCTGGGAAGATGACTAAATAATTTCTTGTTGGATGAAAATGACGAAAAAATTCGGCAAATGTCCGGCAAAATCTGATAAAATTTTTAATGGGTTTGAATTTCGCGCAAAGCTACCCGAGGGTTATCTGTGCTAGCCTTCCCTAATTTAGCAGTGTAAGACTAGAGGGAAGTCAGCTAGTTATCACCACCCACCGCCAACTCTTGGGCTACTTTTTTACCAACTAAAAGTGGGATTGACCGTCACATTATAAAGCCTCCACGGCTGAAAGGACGAGCATGGTTATGGGAAGGGGAATCGAAGCGACCACCTGGCCAAATCGGGCCACATTCTAATGGAATAATGCAACGCTGTTGTGATAGTTTTATTACTTTATCTTCATCTGCACCTTCCCTGTTTAATTGTATTCCGACTAACTTTGTATTTAGAACGCGCTATTTAAAGGGTCGAACATCTCTTCCAGAAGATTTAATTAATTTCTTCACCAATAGCCTGATATCGTAAATACGTTTAAAAAAAATCACATGATATATCTATCACAACTCTCCAGTTGTTGATTCCTTGCATGAACAAAATTTATCTTGTTTGGTTACTTCCGTTGATAAGTTATCTTATCACTCCTGTGCTTATTTAGCCAGTAATTACTAAATCAGTCTACTTCTGTACCGGAGGCGAAGCGAAGTCCCTCTATTGGTGTGTGTATGAATTCACTGAAATAGATTGATCAGTGATAAAATTGTTTAATTCAATTTTGAATTTAACTTTGTTAAAGGTTGTGGCATACGCACTTTGACCCTCCGGTACTACATAAACAAGTACAGTCATGCTTACAATAATGATATCAATGCAGCTCGAAAATCTGCTCTCGCCTAGTTTCATGTGATCTTCAAAAAAATTAATCAATGTTTAACTTTCTAATTGTTTAAAGCACTTTAGAATTTTGTGAGTTAGAAGTGTTGTGCAGTAACGTGTAGACCTTGTATGTTGAATTGGCTGTGGGTAGGCATCCTTTTTGTAACTTCATTAACCTTCCAGTAGCTCATGCAGAACCTAGTGGATCCACCCTTCTTCTCTATAAGTACAATAGGTGATGCCCACGGACTAGTTCTCTGTTTTCTCACTCATTAAACCTTCATGGCTCCTATCTCATTGAAAGCCTCAGCCTGTTTTGCAAACGGGAGTCGTCTGGCTAACTGGTACATTGGAACTGCATCGCTAGTATCAAACTTATAAGCTATTTTATTAGTTTGGACTAAGGCATGAGGTCCTCTAGAAAAGATATGTTGACATATTGTGAACAAGTCATGTAATATATGGCAGTGATCATCTGTAAGACTGCCACAGCTCCGTTTGCACAGCTATTGTAAGTGAGGATGTGAGGATTTGACATCAGGTTTCTTAATCTTGCTTGAACGTTGACTACTTCTGATGTTCTTTAATGTGGAAGTACTACCTGTACAGCTTCATATCTTGCAATGTTCTATCCAGGCTTGACTAGAATTTTATTATTCATTAGTTCATGACCGCAACGATGATATATTTAATCTTCAGATCCACGAGAGTTCTTCCAACCATCAATCTCTCAGTACACTTTAAGAGTGTTGGGTTCTCATATTCCTAATGATTTCTAGTATGAGTATTTCGCTTCTTGGTGACACAGTAACTGCCTTCCTTTTGTCAAGTCCAAACTCTGATGAAGTAATTGTTATGTAGTGCACAGGGATTTCCTGATCATAGACTGTGAAGCTATTTGAAGCTATCCTAACCTCACACTCATGTCTCTGCATGAAGTCAGTTCCCAATATGCACTCTTCCTTGACGTCAATTACCCACATATCATGAATAGTATAGAACCTCACTATAATAAAGGTAACTCTCAATTTTCCTCTTGCTATGACTTTATGTCCACATCAATCCGGCTTTATTCTTCACCTCTGGAGGCAATTTCCCATTTTTCATTACCAAGTCAGGTGAAACAATAGTAGCTGTAGAACCAGTGTCAATCAACACACACAAGTCTTCCAATTCAATAAACCCATGGACTCGTGGATTGTTTTTTTTTTAATAATAAACTTCTAATTGCATTTGGGGCAGATGTGGTATTTGAAATCGGACTTGACCCATAAACCTAGCTAATTCCTGTTTCGGAATGTTTTGTTAGTTTTTGTTATTCCATTGGGCTATCCGTTGTGTCACCGCAGTTGCGGTCGTTTGGATTTACGCCAGTAGAATCGAACCCAGGATTTATTGTTATAAGTCCGTAAACATAATACTGACCCACCGCCGGCCACCGGTGACATTGTGCATATGTATACAGCAATTCTCAAGAGTACCTATGCCATTATGTTTACTCATTTTTAAAGGATTGTTCAGAATATGTGTCTAGGGCTTTCAAACTGGGTCTCAGAGGGTTTTGAAGGACAAA